CCTTGTACAACCAGGAAGCATCAGGAGATGTTGAGAAGAAGAAGCCGGGATTTGTGAGGAAACGAGAAGAGTTTCAAGCGGCGGAGGCAGGCGCGGCAGGGCCTGAGGGCTCGAAGAGGGCTTACCTAAAGCATCGAGAAGCCGACCTGGGCCTGGAGGAAAAAGTGGGGAAAATCCAAGTTGTCACGGGAAGCTCAGCCCCCCACCAACAAGGCGGCTACTGGTGTGACATTTGTCAATGTTTGCTCAAAGACTCGATGGCTTACTTGGACCACATCAACGGGAAGAAGCATCAGAAAGCCCTGGGTTACAGCATGCGGGTGGAGAGGGTGGGGGTGGACCGTGTGAAAGAGCGTCTGAATGCCTTGAAACGACGAGAAGATGAGAAGAAGAAGGCGGGCCCTCGTGAAAGTGCCATTGATGCGTACCAAAAAAAGCTGGAGAAAGATGAAGCAATTAAAGCACAGTGGAAAGAGGCAAGGAAAGAAGCCCGAATTAATGTTATTCAGCGGGCAACAAAAGAGGAGGAAAGTACGGTTGAGGAAGAAGGTGGTGTAGATCCTGAAATGGCGGCATTGATGGGTTTTGGAGGTTTTAAGTGAAGGTTTACCAAGAGTTCTTGTATGCATACGATTGCTTGAAGGTTCATGATTAAGGTCAAGAGGGAGACAATTATAGCCACCAAATACAGCAAGATAAAAGGAAAAGTAAAATGATTTAAATGAGCCGAAAGTTTCTTGGAGGATTGCATTATATCACCCTTTGTATGTTTAGTCGCTGCACATCTATATTCTCAGGTTAATAAGGGTCGATGCTCCTTTACCTTGGAGACTTTTATGCTCCCATGTAGAGCTGATCGACATTTAATTCTATCCTAGCCGACATCTAATTCCATCCTAGCCGACATCATTCAGAAAGCAAGATACTTGCGTATGTAGACTTGCCCGGCTTTGTCTTCCCAGGGCTCTTTTTTGTTAACCTCCCCCCCCTGCAGGCACGGAAGAAAAACAAGAGCAGCAGAGGCTTCGAGCCTCTATGATCGATTTGAACTCACATCTGGTATACTTACACAAAAGCAGAGTGTAAATACAACCTAAGAACAGAGTCTGAGGAGTGAGGCTTGAAACTGCAGCCTTGGTCATGGAGCAGGTGAGAATGGAGGGTTTCAAGGAGCCCTATCCATGGCACGGACATCTCACTATTTGCTCACCATCGTTTGCCCCACATATGGTCGTCATGCAAGTCTCGTACCTAACATGTATCTGCTATAAAACATAGGGGGACGAGGAGCTCCTTTTTGAGCTAGTTGACGTGGAGATGTCGTACGGAAGCAGTACGGGGCCCTCTGAAAGGCGAGGCCTTCTACAAATAACTTCCAAACGTTTACGGTGGAAAGCAAGGCGTGAAGAAGACGAAGGGACAAATTTGACGGCAGATACAGATCTGGGAGAGGAATTGTATGAAGCAGAAATTCCCTGCATTACTCTCCATGCGATCTCGAAGGATCCCTCCTCGTTTCCAAAGCCGTGCTTGTACTGCCAGGTAGGTTGCGATCTTGTTCGTGATGTATTAAAGGCCGTCCTTGGAAAATGAGAATGACATATACAGCTATACATCTGAGTGATCCAATCGATTTAATTCGCGCCTTCCACCGTCTAGATTTCTGAAGGCGGTGAAGACGAGGACGAGGACGCCTCGAAAGAAGTGTATTTTGTTCCAGAGGACCCGGAAAGCTGTGAGTATTGCTCCCAACCATGCGCTGGAGCGCTGGAGTAGTTATCGATCGTTTCTTAATCATGCTTGAGTCGCGTATCTGCCACGCGAACTAGAGGGGACGAATGAATAGGCGCCGATCGCCGACCACATGGGGTGGTTGTATCTCTTCCATGTACTTTCCTTCCCTGTTCCTGAACTGTCGCGCATCTTCACTTCTCCCTTATCTCTGCAGTGGGCCCCCTTTTCGAAGCATTATCTCGGGCCGCCCTTATGAATCCCGATCCCCCTGAGGCCGGTGAGAATGAAGGGGATGATGAGTTGATCTTTGATCAAACCTCCACTGACGGCGCGAGTGGAGCCAGCGAGGAGCAGGTAGGGATATGGTTGAGGAAGTGTGTATGAGTGTCCCTCTACTGCGCAAACGAACGATACAAAGTACGAGGCCATCAAGGAAATGTGCAGGCTGTGTGGCTTCTCGCATGGGCAGCATCGATGTATTGACTTGTCTTCTACCGTACGTCTATGGGTTTACGCTCAGGGCCGCATGCTGGCCCATCTTGAAGGCCTCCTGACCTTTTCTCCAAATCTGGTAGCAGCCAGCGGCCAATTTGACGATGTCGACGAGGCGGAAGGTGCGGCATCAGGTGGAGGGGACCAGGGGCAAGATGGAGGGCGGGGAGAGGGAGGGATGAATGGGCATGGCGCAGACACGACTCAATAATTTTCTTTAAAAGAAAGTCAAGACCTCGTTTAAATGACACGTATGTTCTTTTTAAAATGTTTCTTGCTTGATATAAACATTTTCCCAGCGCATTTGGATCAGGAGACCCTGAAGACGGGGCGAAGACGAACATATGAGCTTGAAAAAAGAAGTCGAGGTCGTGCCTTGATGACCAAGAACTTTTTATGAAAATGTCGTAGAAAGCAAGCCTCTCAGACCTTGGCCCACTTCTATGATTGGAGCTTCCGCCATGCCCGTTCAAATCAGTACCTTTGGAAAAGTTGTGCCGTCGACAGATTGACCCTGGCTGATATAAAAGTACCCGGAGATTCATCAAGTCTGGTGGCTTCCTCCCTAGCCCCACATCTCAATCTGGCAAACGCCACGTCTTGTCCTTTTCGTGCAGGTTTGTGTATGCCTTGTTGTAAGCTGGCGACTTATATATGAGTTGTGGCCTTTTATGAGTCTCGGTGGCGCGTTTCGTGGTCAGGCAGACAAGCCTCTTGAGCAGGGTCCAGTGTGCACGACCCTCATGCCTTACTTTGTTCCATGCACTCCGTCGCTCTTCTTTGTCCGTACTCAATCACCCAGGCGAATAGTACAGCCGTGTTGCCGCCCTTACTTTTTGTCCGTCAGGCGCTCGACCGCTCGTCCGTCAGTTGGCCCGGGCTTGCAATTTCCGTCAAGTTTGTTCTGCTCCCTGTCCTTCAAACGCACTATCAGCAGTCATTGTCGGGCACCATCAGCATCCTCCGCACCCAGTAGCAAGTAACATCCTGAGAAAGCTCTGTCCTCGTCATGCCTGAGACCGTGGCAGAGAAGGTACAGGACCTGGTAATGGCATGCCTGTTCACCCTAATTGCCGTGGTCGCCTTGGTGAAATGTCGTAGGGTCATCATTTTGGAGGGCGCAGAGGTACGTGTTAGGATGAAAAGCTTGCAGTCTCCAGTCTTTCGTGACGCACCAGGGTACTTGCGCTGCTTTGCTGAGATGTCTTTTGCCGCATGTTTTCCCGTTTCTACTTAATTCTAAGTACTAGTAAAATTGTTTTCCCCCGCTCTCTTCCTCTGACAGACTGCCATCAAAACCTTCTACTTCCTTATTTTTGGCGCCGCTGCCTTACGAGCCGTGTGGTTTTTCATACCCTCCGACGTCCTGGAGCCTTCCTACGCGCCCGCCGAAGTTTGGGCCTTCCAAACTCCTCATTGGGCGGGTACGCTGGTGTCGGAAATACTCCTCTCAGGGGGAACCTTGTGCCTATTCGCCATTTTTGTCTTGATCATCATTTATTGGGCAGATTTGTTGAAGAAGGTTTTCAAACCGGTGCGAAAACATGAACCCATGACGACTTTTCTGAGCATCATGGGTAGCCTCGCTGCCTTTGAAGTTGCGAATTTCGCGCTGTTTCTGGCCGGCATCTACTCTTCCCAGGTCATGACGCTGTTGGACTCGATCATGCTAGCCCTCGTCTCCATGGCGTGCGTGGTGGAAATCTCCATTTTCTCGCACCGTTTTCGGACGGTGTTGACGACCCTGGGTGCCATCAACCAAGTGCCCACGGACTCCCAGGTACGGACCATTATCTGGATCACCGTCTTCGGGAACGTCTTCTTTGTCCTCCGGGCGATGGTCGAGCTTTTTCTGGCCGCCACCTTCATTGCCTTGTGGCGCGCCCACAAGCCCCTGAGCTCCCTGGCCACCCCCCGGAACCACTTTTGGGACGTGTACGTGCTGATCAAGCACAGCTTGGAGCTGATGATCCTCTTCTTGATGCTGTACACCCTCCAGTCGCGGAGGACGGCGCACCACCACCACGTGCCCCCGGCCCATCCTGTCTCGCACCCACAAGGCATAGGAGCTGGAAGCAGTCTGAGGAGTGCGGCAGGGGGGGGAGGGGGGTCGGGCTCAGGGGCCTCGTATCTGTCGATGGCGTCCACGGGGAACAAACCACCAAATCGGAGCGAGTACACCGAGGTGAAAGACTTGGATGCGGCGCGTGGGGGAAGGGCTGGGAACGGAGGGCGGGCCCCGGGATTTTTGTCCTCGGGAGGAGGCCAGGGAAGGCCTTTCGCGGGCGGTGGGATTGTAAAAACAGCCGTCAGGGGGACTGAGATGGCCTGAGGAAGGGCATGGCTGATAGAACCAAAATGCCGAGTTTTTTCCGTGGATGGCATGGGCGCGGGTACAAGCACTGTAGGGAAAATCATTGCTAGTTTTTACCCTTGATACTAATGCTGAGATTTAAAGCCGAACGAACGTTGTCGTCACTGAGTCCGTAAGGTCCGGCGGGGGAGGAGCGTCAAGGCGCCACTGTACAAAAGAAAGCCCCAAAGTACACACAACCGGGGCAAGTATGGGTAAAGGCGGGGAGCAACAAGGGTATTTGAAATAAAGCATTTAAAGGAGAAATGAATTGGAAAGAGAAAGTAAAACAGTTGTGTTCGCCACCAAGAAATTTGGTGTCCGGCATGGGAGGTCCGTCATCGTGTTACAGATCAAAGGAAGACCCCATGATCTTTGAGAACGAACAAGCATTGAATCCGAGCAACTCACTCAGCGTCCATCAGTCAGATCAGAATGTTCTTTAACGCTTAATTTGAAGGTTCTTCCATGCTTCAAAATTCCGTGTAAGGTACGGACGAGGCCCTTCACGTGGGAAAGATTTTCCACCAATACATACATCGCCTTCCCCGGAGGTTTTCCACGAATCCCAACCTGTTTAGCAAAGTAGTTACGAGGTGAACCTCAAGTCCTGTCAAAGTCCATTTTCGTTGTCGAACTGCAGCAGAGTTTTAAGAGCCACCGTAAGCATGTCGTAGAAAGAGGACACAGCAACCCTTAGGACTTTCAGGTCACATGACACCAGATGCACATTCAGCGCTGACCCCTCCACAGCGAATGATTTACAAACTTTGTCTGGTTGCAGCTCCTCATCGACTTCCAAGACATCTTGTATTAGCTGGGCCTTACTAGAGCTAGTTAAGTGGAGACTTATTCGACTATTAATACAAAAATTCTCGAGTAAGAATCAATGGTGGCATTGGCAAAACCACCCCATTTAATCTACAAGATGCAATTTTACAAACACTGCAGCGCATCGTATTACTCACCAGTGATGTAAGGTTGCCTTCGGGTCCTTTAACGATGCCATGTCCTGTACTGCCGTAAGGAGGTGGAAGGGGGTATAAGAGAGCAAGAGGCAGGCAACCTGACGGGAGTCGCCGAGACATCGCCACAAAATGTACCTCATCCCTCTACATGAAAAACATATTGTAGTATTCTCCCCTCCGTGTCTTGCCATCACGCCCCGCACCCACGTAGCTTGGCCTCAGTCGAGAATGAAGATAAGAGACGTTGATAACCTCCTCACCCCCTTTAGCAAAGTGTCGAGCCAGACGGACGCACAAATCAAATTCCTGCTCAGCCCCCAACGGCACCCGGCAACAAACGCTTCAGTGTGCTTCATTTGATGTGCAGATTTGGTGAACATGGCTGGTCATATTCACCAACCTATGACATCGAGGATATGTGACGTTCAAGGCCGCGATTTAAAATTCCGTGCCGGCCATTGTAAATCAGGGACATGTCATCTTGCCCGCAAACAGGATGTGAACAGCCTTACTTTTTAGTCGTTGCACAGCTAAATAGACACCACCATGGTCACACCGGGGACGGACGTATGTTCTGTACGGATCTCGTTCGCAAATTCTTCCTGTATAGGCAACTTCACTCATGCATTGTTCTATCCGCCTCAGTAGTGGCTTCACAGGTCTCACCAAGCAGCCGTGTTCGTACACATGGGTGCCTATATCAGCTCCAGCGTCCAAGCAAATTCCTCACGCCCGCAATCCTCACGCCCTGCTTTATCATCGTCTAATAATTCCGGCCCTGCATACCGTGGAGGGCATCTTCACTCGTCCCATGGCCGTCGACCTATGCGGCTGTCGCGGCACAACCCGTGGGCATTTCAAACAGCAGTCTCCGAAGCTTTGAAACGCCGGGGCTACATTGACGCTTTGTGGGATGCTCTGTCCAATGGCGACAAATCCTCTCACCGGGCGCCTGTGCCGTGTGAGGTACTTCCCCTCATCTTGCATTTCGCTGGCTCGTACAAAGAAATGACGCTGAGCAAAGAAGAACCCGTCCGGATCTCAAACGGAAATTTCGCGTACCTGACACACCCTATCCCGACGAATCTCCACGGGCATCAGGTTGTGGGTGCCCGTATATCGGTAACGTCCCATGATCAAGGATGGAGCAGTGAGCATCCGCACCTACGTGGCACGTACATTGGCAGTTACACATGGGGGGAAGCTTTGGTGGTGGAGTCGAGCTCCCCGACGAGCACCACAGAGCAGGGGATCCCACGCGTGGTGGTGGGTACGGAGGTGTATCGGAATTTGCACGCCGTGAAGATATGGCAGACGCATGAGAAGACCTTCGTCGGGCCCCTGGCCTCGCCGAGGGGCAAGGGGCAGGTCGACGAAGAATCCAAAGAGGAAGGAGTACAGTCGGATGGGGGCGATTTGATATCGGCCTTGCGGCCAGGGCGTGCCTTGGCGTTGCATTTACATGCTCAGTATCCTGGCTGGACCAATTTCACCCAGGGCGCGCACATCACCATCCAGTACCTGCGTGTGGACTGAGAGATGAACGGGCGACGAGGGGAGGGAAGAGGGACGGAAGGGGAGGTGTGCATGACGGGGAACTACAGTTGGAGGCCAAGAGAAAGTAACGCTGTATTTTGTATGTACTGATATTCTGCTTGTTACAATGTTTTGAGTGTTCGATGTTTTATCCCCCGCTTTCCAAGTTCCATTATCTCCCTTCCCGTTCTTTGACTTTCTTCTGGTGCTCCGCCCTTCCGAGCTCTATCGCGGTTTTCAGTATGTTGTGCAGCGCCTGGTTCCCCGAGTCCAGCTGGATACCTTCATAGGCTGCCAAGGCCGCATCTTCGTACCTCTTCAGTGCTAAGCGTGCCTCCGCCATGCGAAAACAGGCTTTTGGCCAGCCGGGCTTCAGTGCCCGGGCCGTTTCTGCGTCCCTCAATGCGTCTTCAGGACGTCCCAGCTTCAACAGGCACCCAGAACGGTTGCTCCACAAGGCAGAGTCCCGCCCGTTCAGCCCGATGGATTCGTCATACAAGGGAAGGGCTTGACCGTACTCGCCAGCAACGTAATGACGGTTCGCCGTCTCTTTCAGTCGCAACGCCGTTTCCACGTCCGCCGCCGAGGCTGCGGGGGGGGGTAAGTGCACTCCACTGCTGTGTCTGGAATCTTGTTCGGGTTGTAGCATGGTGTGATCGGAAGACCTACCTTTCTCCTCTTCGTAGGCCGCTGCCCTCGCCCGCCCCCAGCTCATGAGTTCCTCAACCGTCTCCTTGACGTCCGAATAGGGGAGCAAGGTCTCCACCACGTCTTTGTGTGCGGCCCATGCAGCTAGATGGATCGGCTTGCCATTTTCACTCTCCTGCACTGCACAGGCCACCCCGGGTGCCCCCGTGGCTAATATCGCCTGAACGCCATCCAAGGATCCATACTCTGCCATCATGTGCAGCGCCGTCAACCCCGCACCCGACAAAATAAATCCGACATCGGCACCACCCTTGGCAAGCAGCGCAACGCAACCGCCGCAGCCGTGAGCGGCTGCGAGGATGATGGGAGACAGTCCCTGATCGTTCACTGCGTCCACATCGCCTCCCGTCTCGATCAGGGCTTCCAAGGACGCTTTCGCACCTTCTGCACTCGCCCAGTGCAACGGTGTGCCGGTGCCTGCAGCGGCGTTGACATCGCTGCCATGCCGAAGCAAAGTGCGAACGGCCTCCACGTCGTCGTGCCCGGCAACATGGTGCAAGGCACGTGCACCGTCGTGTTCATCATCCTTCACGGGGCCATGATTGGGGTCTGCTCCCCTATCCAGCAAGACCTCAAGCAAATCTTTGCGACTTACTCGACTTGTATTTCCATCGCCACCGCCAGCGGCGGCTAGAATCAAAGGTGTGTCACCCTTATCGTCTTCCCAGCTTACACCCTCAGGCGCCAGGTCCAAAATATGTCGAACCATCTCCACTTGACCCGCATGACAAGCAAAATGCAGCGCTGTGCGACCATTTCCATCCTTGTATTGCCGCAAAATAGCAGCGGAGTCGTCCTCTAAGTCGGGATGCCGGTCCTTTTCTTCCTGAAGTAAGGAATCCAGCTTCGCAGCATCGTCGCTAGCCGCCGCGTCCACTAGCTGCGTCAGAAACGTCCGAGCATGTAAAGCCGCTTGACCCTGACTAGCTTTATCTTGGTCGTCTTCATTATTATCTTGTGATGTGTGGGACGAGCTGAGGGAGTATAGGGAATGTTGACGATGGATTAGACTCCGCATTACACGAGAGAGGAGGTTAAGAAAGGTGCCTCGCACGCACTGCATACCTGGTTGCCATGCTCGTAAATTTCCCGAGGGTCAGCTCAAGCACCGCACCTGTCTGGAAGTATCAAGTTGTGAGTCGAGGAACGTAAGAGTGCCGCCCTGGTCCCATACCATTCGAGAAAAAGGGGCTCCTGCAGATCGTGTTGGAACATCGATGGAGCTCACACTGCGTCCTGTCGCCTGGGGGGCAGCAAAAACAAAGCAAGATCCACGCGTTAACTGGGAGGACAATCCTCCATTCTCGGTCTGATCCCGTCACTCACTATCTCTGTGATACAGAGAGGTGTGCGGATTGTGCTGACTTCGTACCTTCCCTTGTTTTTTCAGGTGGTTGATAAAGTTGCCTCGGTACGTCCTTGTACGCCCCCTCCCCACCTGATTTCCACCGTCCGTCTGTGTGCACAAACATGATGGCCGGAGCAGCGCGACGATCCTCGCACACAGCATTAGCACTAGCATTCGTACTCACGACATTTGTAGCGCAAGCATTTCTGGCCCCAAAGACACAAGGTACGTCGGGTAATGGGAGAAAATAGCTGACATCTTCCCAAAGAGGACGGGATGAAAAGATCGAGAGCAGGGGGGAAGAGAATTAGTTTCGTAAGTTCATGAACTTCCTGATTATTTTTCCTAGCGTTTGGGTGGCTATATTGGAGCGTCAACCAAGCAATCAGGCGGAGAAATAAGCTATCGTACCGTCTCTCCCTTTCTCTTTCCTGCTACCCTTGAATTGCATATCTCGGACATGCCCCTGATATTTGCTTGCCAACACCCCCTCCCCTTCCCTCCTGTACAGGCCTGCCTATCGCAAGAAGATCTACCCCCGCTGCCTCTTGTGGGCCCTTACAAGCCTTTGAAAGCGACTGGTTTAGCACGGCTGCTTCCTCTGTCGCATCTCCCCCTTCCTCCACGACCCTCATCGCGGATTATTTTTCCACCGTGGACGAAATTGCGGCCAGCATTGGCAACACCCCGTGGCTACAGTTTTTCATCCCCACGGCTGTCGGAATGTCGATCTCTTTGGCCATCGTTTTCTCCCTTTACCTCGCCGCGCAGCCCTACGAACCCCCTGAACGGAAATAGGCTTGGTCTCTGGCGTGAATGGGTTGACATGTGATAGGAATTGGGCCATGTTAGACGCGAGTGCCAGGTGGTTGAGCGGGATGAGAGAAAGAACCCAACAACGAAGTACGTGCATGTGATGGACGCGCTTTCTTTTCGTTACTCCGTGCCTCTGCGCGGAACCCTCTTTTCGCATGCGTCCGTGTCGTGCGTTTTTTCCTGCTTTCGACCATCGTGACTCCCTGCTTGAGCCATCTCCGAGCACACACAGGTGCCCTCACACAGTAGACAGTATGTATTTTCTATTCATTCGCCTTGCCCAGCTTTTGCACTGATGATCCCCCCCCCTCCCCCTCCCCCCCCCCACGCTCTTCCGTCGACTCTATCGACGGGCGCGGGTCACGCGTTTGGCCGTGCTCTCTTCTATCCGTTTTCGTTCCTCCTCCCGTGCTCGTTCCAGCACTTGACGCTGGGCTTCGGGGCTTGTTTGACCGACCGCACGGCCTTTGCCTCGTTTCGTCGCGCCCCCCCCCGGGGCCCCGGCAGCCTTACCTTTTTGCTTCCCACCTGCACGCACTGTCACGCCTTCCCTTACCACGGGCGTGTCCTCTTCCTCCACTTCCATGCCCGTCCGAACCTTGTCCTCAGCCTCGTCCTCCTCCTTCTCGCCCGTTGCCCC